ACCCAGATGAAACAGAATTGTAAACAGATTTACTATTTCTTTATGGATATTTTATAAATCACTCTTTTAAACTTTATTCTTGTTTTACTGTCATATAGTATTTCATAGCTGTTTTTCATGTATTCTCTTATTTTTTTATAACTATAATGATCATATAAACGTGTGCCTCGGAAATAATTGTTTACATTAATGGTGACCAAAACGTTTGAGACCCACTGAGATAACACTGAGAGTCCTTTAGCTCACTGAGACTCTCAGTCTGACAGGAGAGGACTCTCCTCCACTTTGTTGTTAAAAAAACTCCTTATATCCGTTAGCGTAGCTCGCTAGCACCAGAAGCTAACATCAACGATCTCCGGTACCGGTGCGCTATCTCTCTCTCTCGCTCACGCACGCACACAAAATGGCTCGTTCCACACACACACAGAGCCGAGCTTTAATGAAACACAGAGACCCAGACGTAATAGTACTGTATCATATTATTTTCGAATCAATAATTTTTCAAAATATGATTTTTTTTTATTTTATATAATCTTTTTTTTTTTTTTAATAACCATTTTTTCTCCTGGTCTCTCGCGCCCCCCCTGTCATGCCTCTGCGCCCCCCTGGGGGGGCGCGCCCCCCACTTTGAGAACCACTGGGCTAAACTAACCTGTTGCTGCTCCGTCCACACTCACAACAAGGTCATACAGACATAAATAAAGCAGCGACTGTATTCGCCATGACATAGACAGTCTGTGGTTTGTACATGTTTAACTTTTGTCCACGTTTCTGAACAGATATGAGGAGCTGTGAGCTCTGAGTGTGTGCTAACGGCTGATGTGTTGGGGCATATTTCGCTGTCGGGTGTTGACCAATCACGAAGCGTCATTTCTTGACTGGCAGCAAAAACAACCAATCACAGCAGTGCTTCTCTGGCTGGTTCTGTCCAATCACAAACAAGAAGTGTTCTCCCTAAAGGAATACCCTTTCCGTCCAATGTGAAATGCGGTGGTGTTTTCTGAAATGCTGTGGTGTCTTGCACTTCAGGGCCATCGTAAGATAGAGACCAATGTAATGTCTCCAGTTTGGAGGACAGCACGTATTGGCTTTTTTTGATCAAAATGTGATTGTAGTTCGTTGTCAACCTTACCACGGTACTTAGGAGACGTCATTTGTGTCTGAACAACGTTTTGTTCATGAGTTATTGATCCGTGAAATCTGAATCTGCCAATATCGTTCCAACTTTACTCGACTTGTTGTCACTCAGTCAGTTTCTACAGTGGCGAGCCGTGACTTGTATACCTAGGCCCTCTGACCCCCTCCCACTTCCCTCGAAAAAAAAAAAAGAGATATTACGTCTCAACGTAGACTTCAGCGGAATATCAAAACAGTGGTCCGGGGTGCAAAACGCATCAATGACAGCGACCCTCTACCACACACAACAACATCATTTATATAAACACCTATCATGACAGGGCACCCACAGCCAAGTAACAATTACAAATGAATTAAGTCGGCACGGCGGCCCGCATTGAAAATGACTTAGGCCTACCTTTGATGATCAAATCACTGAAACACAAAGTCCATCCTCCTGTCCTTTTGGATGAAGCACTTGCGGGTCATTCAGCTGATCCTTTGCCACTCCAGTTTATCATTGTAACTACTCGGTTAATAATTTCGCAACGATGTCATCACTATCACTGAAGTGAGCCATCATGAACGAACTTATGCTAATCATAAATCTATCGATCATAAATCTATCGTTTAGATTTATGATTCAAAAATAATAAAAGTAGGATAGACATGTGGATATTATCCGGCTGAACACAACGTGCATTTATCTAACAGGTTCGTTTTCCACAGACCTTATTTCGAGCTATTTTCCAAAATCCTATGGAGAAATCCCGTTGCTTTCTGTCGAGGGAATCCGAGCGAAGCTTACTTCCGGGTTTTAGGACGCGTCACTGCACCACTTGCATAGACCATTATACATCCTACATACTTATTATAAATCCATGCATAGACCTCACAGCGGGCGGATCCTGTCATAAAGTCCGCGAAAATAAAGCCCGCCCATTTAGAGGGAAGATATGATTGGTCAATTGTACTGTCATTTGACATTACTCTCTCGTTGAGTTAAGTATAGCGGGCCCTCTGTGAATGTAGAGAGGGACCAACCGGGACCAACAAGCTCTCCCGTCTTCACAGTACTCGCAGAGACGGCATTTAACCCTTCACATTCCAACAGAAACTGAACAGGCAGATTCGAAGGATTTATTTCTTTGGAAATATTATTTTAAATACAATTAAATCAAGTTATTTTGGTAAAATTAATGAAAAATGTAACAACAACAAAATATAAAAAATAGTATTTTAAAAAAAAATGTTTTTTTTGTAATGTTTTCAAATATTATTTTTTAGAATATCTTAGGCCCTCACAGAGGGCCTAGAGGGCCCTGACGGCTCGCCACTGAGTTTCTATATAGACTATCTGGATTTAGTTATTGCGTAATAATTATTGTGTTCCCACAAATTACTAATGCGTGGGAACATAATAACTAATTCGTGGCCACGCATTATTAATATACGTGGCCACGTATTAATATTTTTCTCACCAATGTCACCAGGGGAGCTCCGTATAATACAATTTAACAATATCAATTTTTTTTTTTAATGGCACTTGCCTGAAAAAAACAACGTTATGGTAATATGTTTGTAGTAGATACTGTAGATTTGAGCTAAATTAAATATGGGTAACTTCCCCTCAATCCACCATATATTTAGCTTTTTAGTTTCTTCAATTGGGTTGTAGGCCTTCAATGTGCAAAGGGATGCATTTCCAGAGTTTGAGGTTTAAGGCTTCTCTGTGTTCAACTTCAGTATGCAATTTACACAAGTGTGATTTCATTTAATTTCAAACCTTTATTTATGCAGGTGAATCCCATTGAGATAATTGATCTCTTTTTCAAGGGTGACCTGCTGCAAGTAGGTTCCACATGAATACATATAAACAGAAAACAACAGAAAAACAAAAAGGACATCATACAGCATATTTACAGCGACTATAGTTTACATAGCTATAGTAACATTTACAGGTTCCAACCGTTTCCGATTGGATAGCATCTATCCGTGCTATAAAAACATTTGGTGGAACCAAATTGCTCAGTTTCCATTCCTTTTGCAGACTGTTCCAAGTTAGTGGAGCTGCGCATCTAAAAGCTTTCTTCCCTAAGTCAGTCCTAGCACTTGGCACATTTAATGAAACCACATCATGAGATCTCAATGCAATAGCTACTTTCAATTCGCCGAGAGATCAGAGAGCAGATGTAAGAAAGTAGTTTATCCAACATGGCTTTGTAGATGAACATGTACCAGTGACTGAGCCTCAGTACAGTAAGTGAAGGCAAGCCTGCTCTGGCATACAGGGTACAGTGATGAGTTAATACTTTACAGTTAGTTACAAATCACAGGTAAAAAGGTCACAGAGACTAGCATTTTCCTGGCCTCAAGTGAGAAACAGGACTTGTTTCTGGAAAAAAAACCTATCTTCACCCTCAACTTTCTAAGCAGATTATTGAACTGGAGTTTAAAAGAGAGACAATCATCAAGCCATATACCAAGGTATTTATAACAGGCATCCACTTCAAGTACTTGTCCTATAGTAACAATATTCAAAGTTGTCTCCGGTGTCTTTTGAAAAAAGCACTACTTTAGTTTTATCAACATTTAAAATAAGCTTAAGCTCCGCTGGATAATATTAAAAACAGCCTGTAATTTAACAACAGCCTCCTTAAAGGAGGGACCTGCACAATACATCACGGTATCGTCCGCATACAAATATAAAGTTGCTCCATCCACATTTTGACCTAAACTGTTGATGTAGATGGAGAATAAAAGTGGACCTAAAACAGAACCTTGTGGTACACCATTTGTAATGTTTAACCACTTAGAGAGGTAGTTCACAAACCACCCTACTGCATGGATAGATATGCCAATACTGGCCAGCCTCTGCTTCAGGATATGATGATCGACGATATCGAACGCTTTGGAAAGATCAATAAACAGAGCTGCACAACTCTGCTTTTTGTCTAAGATACCCACAATATAATTTACCACTTTCATTGTTGCAGTGATGGTGCTGTGTTGCTTTCTGAAACCTGACTGTTTACATAGGATGTCATTTGTACATAAAAACACCTTTACCTGTTCACTCACTAGGCGTTCAGAACCTTGGCCAGAACTGGCAATTTAGAGAGGAGTCTATAATTATTTAATAAGGTGGCCGCCCCTCCTTTTAGTAAAGGCAGGACATAAGCTGACTTCCATACTTTTGGAATTGTGTTTGTGCTGAGAGAGAGGTTAAAAAGAGAAGTAAGAGGTGGTGCAATAAAATCTGCAGCTATCTTTAATGAAAGGATGAAAAAAGCCTGAAGCCTCTGATAATGAACTCTTTAGTGAAGTCAAATCCAGCTTTGAACCTTTAAAAGTAATCCATTTGCCTATTCATATTTTATAATAAAGGGAAGGAGCAGATTCATTTGTATTTATCCTTTTTTGTGGAACAAATAATTAGACGGAGTGTTTAGGTCTAAAATGCCACACATTACAGAAAGCAAAGGAAATCTAAAATCTAAAAGTGTTACATTCAATATATATTGAAATTCAGGTTTTATTTTTGCACATATAAGAAATGGGGCCAGAAAGTCCCAATACCGTAAAGGTAATTGTACTTAATATAGCTCACATTATCGTTTTTTTCAGATTTCCCCTCACTTCTGATCTTTGCATCTTGATTTCTCACTTCTGTTTTAAAATAAAACACATTAAAAAGGAAAATAAACATTCCTTCGTCTATGGGTAGAATGTTACCAGAAGACGGCAGTTGTGCTGATATATGATGGTGTCTTTAGCCCCATATTTATATATAGGTTTTACATTTTCAGTCATCCACTATTTATAAGCAATACAAACCCATGGACAAAGGCTTTTTTTCTTTTCTAAAATGAAAAAATACTTGCTTTACTTCATAATACTCAGTATTTTTGGTGCTTTAATGTAAAACAGCTTTCGGCAACACACAAAACAACACAATCAATACAATGTATTACTTTGCATAGTACTATTAGACTATTTACTGGAACATCAAAGTAAGAGCCACTTGGTTATTATGCCAGAGTCACAATCCTCTGCAGAGTCTGCTTCCTGTTTGACCTTCTTCACAGGAAGTGCAACTCCCGTTGCCCCACCTCTTTTTCTGGATGGGTGTGGCTCATAGTCATCATCTTCAGCCGTTGCCGACGAATCACATCCGCTGCTGAACTGTTGCCCCTGTGATGCTGCTTCACTATAGGACAGGTCACATGACTCCTTTACTGTCACCTGGAAGGTAATAGAGAGTGCATGAGAAATTCAAGTTTACTAACTGTACCAAATCAGAGTGAAGTCATGATTTGTACTCTATATCGTTTTTATAAATGTGTCTCATTGATGTCCCTAAACTTTGTGTAGTGTGATACTTATTATAACTAAGGCATTTATTTAAATGCTCTATATTTAGGAATTAAAAATGTGCAACATGCAAAAGGACACTTTGGTAGCTAGCCACTCAAGCACCGTAACACATTTTTGCTAAATAAAATCAACCCACTTTCTGACACTGATAATGTAGGGGAAGAGAATCAATATCAAACAATTACCAATCAAATTGAGAGCAATGGAATCCTCAACATCTGCATTTCAAGGCTGAATACACTAAAGCAGTGGTTCTCAAAGTGGGGGGCGCAGAGGCATGACAGGGGGGGCATGAGAGACCAGGAGGAAAAATGGTTATTTAAAAAAAATAAAATTAATATTCTGAAAAATTATTGATTCGAAAATAATATGATAGAGTACAGTACTATCACGTCTGGGTCTCTGTGTTTCATTAAAGCTCGGCTCTGTGTGTGTAGAACGAGCCATTTTGTGTGCGTGCCCGAGAGAGAGCGCACCGGTACCGGAGATCGTTGATGTTAGCTTCTGGTGCTAGCGAGCTACGCTAACGGATATAAGGAGTTTTTTCAACAACAAAGTGGAGGAGAGTCCTCTCCTGTCAGACTGAGAGACTCAGTGAGCTAAAGGACTCTCTCAGTGTTATCTCAGTGGGTCTCAAACGTTTTGGTCACCATTAATGTAAACAATTATTTCCGAGGCACACGTTTATATGATCATTATAGTTATAAAAAAATAAGAGAATAAATTAAAAACAAGTATGAAATACTATATGAGAGTAAAAAATGAATAAAGTTTAAAAGGGGAGTGATTTGTAAAATATCCATAAAGAAATAGTAAATCTGTCTACAGTTCTGTTTCATATGGGTGTTGAGAGATGTATCCATAGATCTCTTCATTTTGCTCTCAAAGTGCACCAGATTGATGCTTTTAACTTAGATATTTAAAAATCTTCCCGGGGGAGCTTGCCCCCACACACCACCTATAAAAATAGCACTTTACCCCTGCTTACACCTATATGCCGTGAGCTGGTTATCGAGCCTTCATTGTAACAGTCACTACAGTACACTGTGTATATGCGTGGGGAGTGTTGCAGTAGAAAATTCCACTGTAGCGCCCGGTACATTAATGGGAAACCCTAAATGTTTGAGCACCCTCTATGAAACGTCAAGCTACCCCACAGCACCCCCAAAATAAATCTCTGGCGCCGCCACTGAGCCCGACTTTTTCTTCTTCTCCAAAGACAGAAAAAGTTTGAGAACCACTGCACTAAAGTAAGGTGTTATTTTTTCTTGGAATAAATATGATACAACTGGTGCGGTGGTCTTTTAAAATGAAAGTATACATTTCACATGTATTGCTGCAAAGGGGTATTAGTGAGTTGGCGGTGTCTTAAATCCTCTTCGCTCTGTAACCTTAAATACAGAGGGCGACAACTTTGCTTCCCTTCGAGGCATCAACACCGTTTATCTAGGATGTGTATGCTTTCATTTGAGAGAATTTCAAGGGCCATTTGATTGTGACATTGTGATTTCACCACTTATTGTGCATTTGAGTATGTTAAGTGTTATAGCTGTGCTGGACACCTCAAATTAGGTTTGCAATGAAATGCAAAATAGAGTCAAAGATGTTAAATCTCTACCTTACCTTATTGGATGGACGCCCTCCAACAAACCTCTCCTGACCATTGCTAGTATGGCCTGAGCCTCCGTTAGCATTGCTATGCTCACTGATGTATGCGTGTCCATCGGCACAACTCCACACGGCGACAGGGACGCTGCTGCCGTAGGAACCGGGTTCTGTTGTCAGCGCTGTACCGTGGGAGGTGAGCTGCTGCAGGCTGGGGAGGAGGCTGCAGAAGGTGCCGTGGCTGTGAGCCCAGCGGACCAGTTTACACAGACCAACAGAGGAGGTTGGAACCGGGTCAGAGGAGGTCTGAACTGGGTCAGACGTGATGTGACCTGTAGAGAGGGAAAGGGTCAAGTACTGGTGACTGCTATACCGTTATATATAGGGATGGGTATTGTTAAGGTTTTAACGGTACTACTACTTTTACCGATACCCAGTCGCGGCGCCAGAGTATTTTTGTTGGGTATTCTATGGTAGGGCTAACCCATACAGTGGTGGGGCTCAAGTCAGTATTTGCAATGTAATTACATACACGCTATATCGCCCCCCTTGACAGTGAAACGCCATGCGTGAGGTTTAGATTATTTCCCGGTCTCAAGCCGAATTGAACTGTATGAAATAAAAAGGGCGACCTGGAGCCAATCCTGCAATTTCCCCACAGGTGAAAGAGTTGACATGCTGAAAACCCAACCCCTGAAGGGGGGTCTGGGGGTATTCTTCCCCAGGAACTTTTTTGAAATACTAACATAAAATACACATTCTGGTACTCTCTTGAGAAGAAAAATAAATAAATCTATTACTACACGACATATTTAAAAAAAAAAATGAATGCCATTTTATTTTTTTGTTACTTTGTTCTGAAAGCTGAACCTGCTGCTCCTCACAGAGAGAAGAGGGAAGGCTGCCACGTCGGCTGCCCAGTCCCCCTAGCACCTCGCCAAGAGTGCGCAGGAAGGCTAGGTTGAAGGTCTCTGCTTGAGCAGCCTCCTCCCTTCTCAAGACGGCCTCCTCCCTTCTCAAGGCCGCATCCAACTTCCATCTCCGCTCAGCAGACGCTTTGGCCCAGTCCAAGTGCCGTTCCTGCTGGGCCATGTGCTGTTCATGGTAACGTTCCTGCTGGGTCCGATCCTCTCCTCCTCGTTTCCTCTTGCCTGGGTGACAATAAGATAATAATTAGCAATAAGAAAAAAACACAGGACAGGTACAGGTCACACAAGGATATAAGAATAACATGTATAAACAGAACAACAGTATGGATGAACTAAATAAAGTTCTGGCTCTAGATGTTTACAATGATTGTGAAAGTGAATTACATTATATCCAGCCTGTTGATAATGAATATAAATATATGTATATGATAGGATGTCACACACAACTGTACTAGCTGCTTAATAGCTAAGACTTTACTTGTAACAGAGCATTTCCACACAGTGGTATAGCTTATTTTAATTACTGACGATGGATGATCCAAGGTTTAAAAAAACAAAACACAATTCCAGTCGTTTTGCCATTTATATTTCTTACCTAGAACCACACGCTGCGGTGACGTGATGGCACTCCGCGTTGGTGGTTGAGTTGGTGTCGGTTCTTCGGCTGGTGTCTGTGGTCGAGTTGGGGAATGTTCCTCCTCACTAGTCCCAATGTAATCATCTAGAACAGCGAAATGACTTGTTAATTCCACAAACTACTGCAGCACAATACTAAATAGCAACAACAACTATAGAAAAGAAAAACTGAACGTAAACAATGGCACATGTGGTGTTAGCAAACAATAGCTCTAGCTAAGGCTATCTGCCTAGGCTAGCTATGCAGCTCTTCGGGGTTCCATCAAAGCATGGGTTGTCGAACATTAATGTAAGGATAAAATAGACTTCTTTGTTAGAAGTGAGCGTACCTTGCAGGGACTCCAGTAAAGCCGTTGCAGAGTCCAGGCCTCCCTCCCTCCCAACGTTGGCCGGTCTATGGCCGTAAATCTGGTCCAACAAGTCGAACCACTTCCAGTGTTTCCTACCCGCACCACTCGTGTTGTTGTTGTCCTTTACTTGGCGATATTCACTCTTCATCTTTTTCAGTTTTTCCCTACACTGCAGGAAAGTCCTCGAAAATCCGCGTTCGGACATCTGTGCAGAGACATCCTGGAACACTTTCAAATTTCGAGTTGTTCCGTCGAGCTCCCGCTGGATTTTATCATCCCCAATGAGATGTAGGAACGTCGTCACCTCCTCGGTCGACCACGGTATGCTTTTCTTTGACGTTGCCATTTTTGTAGCTCCTCCGTTTACAAAAATGCTGTGTATAAAAATGCTGCAAGCTTGCTTCTAGATATATATGCGACGCTAGGGATGATCTCGCGCGCGATCTTGTGACGATTATCTCTGACCAATCAGCAGTCGAGAGTGTTGACGTCACTAGTTCAGCCCTTGTCCTGGCCTGAAGGAAAAAGTACCCGCTAGTCGGTGCTACGCTATATGAGGCGCCTTCACACCGCAGTACTTTTCCCACTTTAGTTCCGATATAGTTCCGAAATGTGTTCACACCAAAAAGAGCCGGAACTAAAATTAGTTCATGAGAACCTTTTCACCCCCTTTTCCGTCCCTGCTAGAGAGCAGGGACTTTCGTGGGAGAAAAAGGTTCCTATGTCTGATTGGCTGGGCGGATTGCAAACCACGCCCCGTAAAACTCCCAAAAAGTTTTCTGAAGCCGCCATTTTATTATCCTCGCATTAGCATTATTAGCATTAGCCCAGCGCAGAAACGCAGAGAGACTAATTTATGGCAACACAAAATAAAACATGGGAGCGGTGGAGATGAGGAGGTGTCGGCGTTCTTGCGATTTACTCGGAAGGCTTCAGCTTCTACCGAAGTCAGTCCCCAACTCCGGGGACTTCCGGCCGGGGACTTTGGGCGGCAGTATCATGGATGTATAATAAGAACAAGGCCGTGAAGTTGTTTGCGGCCTGCCAGTAAACCCAAAGCAGAAGAAGAAGTGACGTCAGCGGCTTCATTTGCCTAATCCTCCCCCAGGGACTTATTCCGGTGTGAACCATGGTGTGAACGCGATCTGTACTTAGTTCATGAGAACTAAAGAGTTCTCATGAACTAAGTTCTCATGAACCTTTGTGGGAAAAGTACTGCGGTGTGAATGCGCCTATGGAAAGGCCACCAAAAACTGGCCTGGCTGCTTGAGGACCATTAAGGACGCTTAAACGGGGCTACCCGCTGCAGTGGAAATGCGCCATAAATGACTGCTATAGTGTCAGCAGCGGGACCTTAGCGTATATATAGGACGCAGTGGTCTGTACGTTTGATCATCAGATCAAGGGGGCGTTGGGGAACTCCAGTTCGAAACCCACTCCCGCCCCACTGCGTCAGGCCGTTGTGTCCTTGGGCAAGACACTTCACCCGAATTTGCTCCTGTGGGTATTGTCCACAGTAGATGACCATTACATGTATGTATGATCTGTATGTGTAATGTGTATTTGTAAAGCGCTTTGAGAGTCATTGATAAAGCGCTATAATAAATATAAGGATTATTATTAGGGCCCGAGCACGAGAGTGCTAGGACCCAACGGCGTCCTAGCACGAAGTGCAAGGATACCTATTGTTATTCGTGGTATTATTATTATTATTCCATATTTCAATGCTTATTTTCAGGCCTTTAGGATGCTGAGAAAGTTGTATAATTTTGCACAGATTCCAGAATCGGTGAAAAATTTGATATTCTGGAGTCAATGTGTTCAAATTGTCCAACATGCTCTCTAGCGCCACCTATGGCCATTTCCGTTTTTGGAAAGATGTACAAAGTCGCACCGTAACTCCAAATGACCTGAAATTTTTCACACTTACTCGGGTGGACCTGCTCTACATATAATGTCCAAGTACCCGTAAGCTCCGCCTACTTTATTTTTTTTTAAATTAGCATAATTTGAAAAACAGTTAAATATTCACTTAAATTTCAAATTTTGGTTTTTCAACACCAAACTCAGTATACAGTATCGCCAGAGGGTCAGACACATTATCGTAGGAAATGAACATGTTCAGTCGATAAATGTGGCCCTCATTACTCTAAACGTGTTTGCAAAAGGCGGGGCTTAGATAGAAATGCTCATAACTCATCAACAATGTACAACAAAACCACACATTTTGGTGGGAAGGTTCATTCTGTATTGGGGAATAGGCACAAAAAGTAATTTCCATTTTGGACTATAGGGGGCGCCAAAAACATGACAAATGTCTAACTCATGAACTGATGGACGAAATATTTTTCTTTTTTTGTAGACATACTCTGGGGATGAGTATGGACTTATATTCAAAGTGTCACAACGAATGACAAATGTGGGCGTGGCCTGTACTTTTTTTTTTATGACGATGAGCTAAAATTGTTTTCGTTACGCAAAAATTGGTACACGAGTCACAGCCCACGACTTTTTCCATAATGTAAAAAAAAAACCTACATTTTCAAAAAAACTGCTCACTAGCGCCCCCTATTGTGTGGTAGTCGCATATAGTTTCTCAGAACTTCACGAATGTTGGCAAAGATATTCCTCATGGAATTGCGGAAATATTTGTACATACATTCCATTAGCCCCGCCCCCCAAAAAGTCGGCCATTTTGAAATATGTGCGTTTTTTATGCTTTTTAAGCACATTCGTGCAGATTCCTCCTAGGGGAATGATCGGAAAAATTCCAATCCAGGACACGTTCAGCCCCTATCCAATATGATACTTAATGGAGAAGAACATTTTTGATAGCTCAATCGTGGAGGTCGTAAGCTAACAGCGAATACACCATTGTTGACGATTTACATGTCGCAAATTACTCCAAATTACTCGGATATAGTTAATCCGATATTCACGAAACGCTGTATACATATTGCTATTATGATTGCACACATATTTCAAATTGCCTTCCATTAGCCCCGCCCCCCAGAAAGTTGGCCATTTTTTTAAATGTGCCGTTTTCAGCCATTTTACGCACGTTCTTGCGAACTCCTCCTAGGGGAATGATCGGAAAAAATCCAATCCAGGACAAGTTCAGCCCATTTCCAATGTGATGCTAAATTGCGAACGAATAGTCGATCGCTCAAACGACGACTTCGTAAGCGAACGGAGAACTTTCCATTTTTTACGATTTACATGTCCCAAATTACTCCAAATACTCGCGTATACTTTTTCCAATATTCACGAAACGCTGTATACATATTACTATTATGATTGCACACATATTTCAAATTGCCTTCCATTAGCCCCGCCCCCCAGAAAGTCGGCCATTTTTAAAAATGTGCGGTTTTCAGCCATTTTATGCACGTTCTTGCCAACTCCTCCTAGGGGAATGATCGGAAAAATTCCAATGCAGGACAGGTTTAGCCCCTATCCAATATGATACTTAATTGAGGAGCACATCTTTGAAAAATTACTCGTGGAGGTCGTAAGCTAACAGCGAATACACCATTTTTGACCATTTACATGTCACAAATTACTCCAAACTACTCGGATATAGTTATTCCGATATTCACGAAACGCTGTATACATATTACTATTATGATTGCACACATATTTCAAATTGCCTTCCATTAGCCCCGCCCCCCAGGAAGTCGGCCATTTTGAGACATGTGCATTTTTCATGCATTTTCTGCACATTCTTGCGAACTCCTCCTTGGGGAATGATCGGAAAAATTGCAATCCAGGACAACTTCAGCGCATATCCAATGTCATGCTACATTGAGAAGGAATAGTCCTTCGCTCAAACGGGGAGCTCGTAGGCTAACGGACAATGTACCATTTTTTACCAATTATATGTCAGATAAGCTACTGAGCCCTGCCTGTCTGCCTGGCACATCAACTCTCAAACACACACACACACACGCACACACACACCTACTGTTAGTCCAACAACGCCCTTTGCTGGCGGCATATTCATTACAAAAGACACTCGCTAACCCTAACCCTAACCCTAACCCTAACCCTAACCCTAACCCTAACCCTAACCCTAATGTTTATTTGTAGATATCTCCTAAAGCCTACAAATAAAGTGTCACATGTAGGCCTGTTACATTTGTTATTGAGCGATATATATTATACACACTGTTCTGCTTTCTGCACTGACCTCAGCAGCTGTTCTCACTGTAACATCATCTAACATCCAGGGCACATGTGATTAGTGAGTAAACAAACGGTAAAGGGCAGAAAGTCTGATGCACATTTGATCATCTCAAATAACTTATAATCACTACGGGAACAGTTTGCAGAGCTGTGCTTCGTTTGACAGAAGTCCAGACATGCGTCACGCCTCTTTTAAACATCACTGTTGGCTGAAATCGTCTCAGGAGAATACTTCAGTGTACCCTCGGTTATAGCTCCTCCAGAGACACTCCTCTCTCCTCTAAATCAGTGTATCCTCGGTTACGGCTCCTCCAGACAGCCTCCTCGATAATCGATCCTCGACGAGCCTTTACAGAAATTTGTTTTCCTTCGACATCCGTTTCCGGGTCGCTGCCGGAGCACCTGGGAGTCTGGGACGCGAAAATTAGAGAAATGACAAACGGCTAATTTCCCAGGACTCGCGCGCGTCTGCTTGACGCCGGGACGACCTGCCGCCCTCCCCGACAGGCGCACGGACGCGAGGGCCCGCTCATCACTGCGCGCACAAGTGCGACCGCAGTTTTAATTATTATTATTATTATAGGATATATATACAATATATCCTTGGTGTTTATTGGCGGTTGGCAAACTAATCTGTAGGTTTATTACCGCCACCAACTGTACTGGAGTGTGGACAAGAGACTATGCAGAAAACAATAAACAAAAGAAAGAAAATAAAAAATGGCGCTGCTTATACGACGTTTGGGGATCGGGTGTTTCTCAATGTCGAGGACGCCTGCTTGGTAGCACATGTCTTCTGAGTCACTTGATTTCCGCCAAAGATTTGGAAATTGGTCCGTGCGCAAAGCATTGTGGGGATTTTAAGACCGCGGAGTCTACACATGTGAAGCCTCGAAATTTCTCGCTACGAAGTACGCCGGCCTCGGTAGAATTACAAGTATGCTGGACATTGGAACAGGCCTTCGGCGGCACTCGATGACGTAGTATGCTTGAAATAGTGGCTCTGGAGCAGCCTTCCTCGACATTGAGAAACACCCAGTGTCTTGCGAAAGAATTGTGACAATTCTCTCTGACCAATCAGCGGTCGGCAGTGTTTTACGTCACTAGCCAAGCATATTTTCAGCTCGCTTGGAACCTCAACTGAGGTGCCCTTGAGCAAGGCACCTAACCCCCAACTGCTCACAGGCGCCGGCTAGACTGGCTGCCTCCGCTCTGACCTCTCAACTGCATGTGCATGT